GCTGAACCAACCAACCTCCTCCATTCCTACAGACTTTGGGGAGCTAAACACAAACCCACCATGGGAGCATCAGCGTTGCGCCCTTCGCCGCCTTGCCGAGCCCTCGCTGCCCCGGGAAAGGCCAGACCCTGCTTGGAGGCCCTCACTGCCCTGCGCAGGCACCCTGGGAGTGCTTTGCTTGCTGTTTTAGCTCCTTAGATAAAAGGATATCGATTCTATGAAAACTGCTGAGCTATCACTTCGGAGCAATTCTAAGCAAGCAAGTATTGGGCAATTCAACTGAGATTAGCTACGTTCTGGGAGGTCTGAAGGACGCAGGCAGGATCTTAGGTGGCAAGTTCTAGGCAAGTGCACAAAAAGACATGCTGTTCCAGTGGAAATTCCCTTGGTTTCCTCAAAAGGACCCTTTAGGGATGTCAAAAAGCCCTTCCTTGAAACATGGAAGGTATCAAGCCTGTAATACGGTATGAAGAAGTTCCTTGGGCAAGCTGTTTAATTAAGGTTTTATCGGTGAAAGCCATCTCTTTTCTCTGGAAATGAAGACATGACTTGCCTATTTTTTAAGTGTACAGAGACTAATTTTACGGTCTGTTAAACTGTAGAGCTAGTGCTTTGTTCTGTAAATACCCGAGCATCTTATTAGAGATGCTGGTTGACCCATCAAGTGCACAGGGCCTGTTCTCCTCTCTGAGCAGATACACTGCAAGTCTGAGCTGTCTTTCTGTTGGTAAATGAGATATTGCTGGGCTGTTAGCTGGCAATCACCTAGTCCAGAAGCTTTCCTGGAGGCTTCTCAGAACCCCTAACGAGTAGGGGAACACGGCGAGGGCACCCTGAGGTGGACCCAGACAAAGCCATGCAGAGGCATCTCCACCTGGATGCCCTCCAGGACACGGAGGGCAGCACAGACACACCTTGACTCTATCCTCCGCACTGCAGATGTGCCTGCAACTGCTCTCCTCCTGACCTGCTCTGCTGGTCTGCAGGGGATGGGAAACACCAGTTCCCAGCACGGGGTGCAGGATGGCCCAAGCTGCTCATGCACCCAGGAAGCCAAGGACCTGCTCTGCAGAAACCCAAGGTCCCACCACGAACCAAGAAGCTTTGATAAAAGAAATGACCAGAGGATTTTGATCGGAGCAAAGGTTTTTACACAGCGATAATATCGTTGCCCCTGAATATGTGGAAACCCTTTGGCTCTGTTCCCTTTGCACTTATTCTAACAGGAAAGTTTTGAGCAGTTCTTTGGGTTTAGATCATCCAAGGCTTCTCATAAGCTGAATCACAGTTTGGAAAGGAGCAATTAGGAACATTTATTAATTGTTTTGAGGTCTGAACTGCAGCAAACTAAAATCACGTAAAATCCCAAAAGCTCACAATAAAATACTAAAACACTAAATAAAATACTAAATAAATAAATAAATAAATAATATTTTACTACATAAAATACAATGAAATACCAAAATACACGTAAAATACTAAAAGCTCACAATAAATTGGGAAGGGAGAACGTCTAAACTAGGCTTAGCCAAGCACAACTACCAAACTTACTCTAAGACCAAGTCAAGGTGAGCTTAAGTTCAACTAGTCTCTCTTTCTGAAGTACTTGCTCATTTTCAGAGGAAACCACCAGGTGTTTCGCAGTACATACATGCAGCTAGTTCGGTACTTTAAATACTTTGAGCCAAGTACTTTAAATATTTAAATACATACTCCCAGTTGCCAGGGCAATCAAGGAAGAGGAGCAGACAAGGTTCAGATTTGGCTGTGTTACTGCTACAGCCCAGGTCACCAGCACTATTTGGGGCAGGGGGAATTGTAGTACATTATGGTCAACTATCCACAAACTGCACAGCTCATACTGAAGTGAAAAATGTACCAAACCCTTGAGGAACATTCCAAAACAACAGCAAAAAATCAGTTATCCTGCATTTAGCATCAGCCAGGTAGGAAGGTTGGCAGGACCTGGAGGCAACGATCCTGGAAGGCTCCCTGTGCCCACTGTAAGGTTCAAGAGATGCTTTCTGGATAGGGGCTGATGACAGGGAGCAAGTACAAAGGGAAAACGCCTGTCAGGGCCTCCAACAGCACCGCGCTGTACTGCGAGACCCCTGCACAGAAGGGGCTGTTAGTACTGTGAATTAGCTATTTGCTTCGACCTTGCTATGACAAAAGCACGTACAAACAGAAATGCTCCCCTTTCTGCTTCTAGATAGCCCCGTCTAAACTCTCCAAAAAGAAAGGAGAACTTAGACCAAAAACAAGGCTCTACAAGGCACTCAGTGCTTACAGAACAAAACAGTCACTAACGCATCAGCATTAAACACTGCTAAACTGAAGCGGCGTTCAGCCAAACACAGGGCATCATCAAAGAGGTGCTGCTGCGGGAGCATTTCTCCCATGGCCTCGGAGACGGGCTCCACCACGCAGACAGAGGCGGGCGCACGCACAACGCAGACTTTTCATTGGAGGCCTCCCGGACTCTTGGGTTCCGAGGATGAGTCTCTGTGGATGACGGAGCGCTGGCTGCACCGCCACTGCCTGGATGCCAGGGCTGCATCCCCCGGCGTGGTGGCAGAGCTCGGCTCCTCGCGCCGGGCGCTGCAAGGCTGCCACCTGACGTCGCGGCGCGCACTAGCGGCCTCCTCCCCGCGCGCAGCCGCTTCGCTTCGCGGGGCCCCATTCCCGCCTTGGCAGGGTTTTCCGTGCCCCCGTTCCTCCCGCAGGGGCACAAGCGTGCGACCCGCTTTCCCGCACAACTTGGGGGCAGCACTTGGAGGCTGAGAGCCAGCAGATGGGATGGAAACTGCCTCCGTCCTTCGGCTCGCTGCCTCCAGCGCCTGCTCCTTCCCAGGGAGCCCATTCCACCTTGCAGCCTAAGTTCTCGGCAACACACAAGCGCACATATGGATTCTGTCAATACTGGATATTTACATTAAGCTTACAGGGATATCTTATACACAGTTAAAACACAACTTCCTGACTAAGGTACATAATGTAAGTATTAACACCTGCAAGGTTGTCACTGCTTAGAGAGTAAAGACACCACAAGCAAACAGATTTGAGAACCTCATTCTCCTCACCGCAGTCAAGCTACATTGAGAAGCTATTTCTCAGGATTCAGGACAAAGGGATTTTAGGGCTCTTGCCTGTATATATATACACATATATGTACATATGTGTGTGTATATATATAAACCTTTTCTTTCTGCTCTCACTCCGGGTTTTTATTTTCTGTGTTTGTTTTACTTGGATGCAGATATGGACACAGCGTTAAGACAGGGGCAATCACAGCAGAGCACCTCACAGCCTGGTCACAGCTCCGCGTTCCTGACCAAGGGCCTAATCTCTTTTATATTTTGCTCCCAAGGAGACTGAAGAAAAGCCATAGGGAAGACCTCTCTAAAAGCTGATTTAACAGCAGTCCCATATGCTCCAGTCACCTGGTTATTTGCTCAAAGCCCGAGGCAACAAAACAACAAAATCAGCAAGTAGATATGACAGAAGCTTCAATGCATGAAAGATGGTAAAACTGAACGCCTGTTTCTCACATTAGCCCATTTACTCTGCAGCATTTCGGCAAGGCTGACAAAGTCATCATGTAAACCTCAAACGGCCGAAGTTAAACACATTTCACTTCTCACATACTGAGCTGATTGTGTCAAAACTAGACTCATCAGTTTGTTTTTCCAGGTACGCAAAGGTAATTTACCCAAAGGTAATTTTAAGACACTGGCTACTTATCCAAATGTTTGAGAACTACATTTTAAATAACTTAATTACTTAGTTCTTATATCACCACAAATGTCCAAGTTAGATCCTCCTCACTCTGCAAACATTTTAAGGAACACAACTTCTTTGACATCTTCTCTGCTGCAAATAGCTCAAAATGAACTTTATGAATTACTCCTCTGATTCCAAAATATGAATGCTACTTCTAATTTTAGTCTGACAACTAAAGAGAAAATGCTGTTTTCAAAACAGGTTACCAAGTTAAAAAAATCATTCAAAGCAGCTAGGAGCATCAGTGAGTCATAACTGGCATATAAAAATACATGCATGTAGTCCTGCAGCTTGGAAATGTCCCATCCTGTAATTTTATTGATGCCCTTTTTTTTTTTTTTTCCTATTGTTTTCTCCATGCTGCAATAGATCCTTCAAGTTGCCCCCATCATATGGATTCATACAGGACAAGATCGAGACCAAACACATACCCAACGTCTAGTGCTGACTGCCATCAGCTCATCAGAGTGAGCCATACAGAAACCCAGCACGGGCATTTTGTTCTTTTACTTTTAGGAACATATCTCCGTGACATGAGAAGGGCTGTTCTGAGGACTGAGCCACCAGTCGCTATTGCACTGGTGACTGCTGTCAACTCATGTAACTAGCCGAGTACAAACCACTTTGCCACATCAGCATCCTTGAACGCACCAGGTTAAGTGCACCACGCACCAGGTAAAAGTTCCCTGTAAAGCCTAAGATGCTCCTACCCTACACTGCTTCTGAAATTGCATTTTTGCTGCTGAAGAGTAAAAAAACACAAAGGCATTCTGAAACTACCTGCCCCACGTGGCTGCTTTGGGATTCACAAGGCACTTGCAACCATTTCTGAACGGAAATCTCTACCATCTCCAGAGCTTAAAGGGAACTGGGTAGAGCAGGTGTTTGTCCTTCCTCGGTTAGGGTGAAGGAGGCTGGTGTGCAACTACAGCTCAAGCCTCTTGCAACACTTAGTTCAGGTCTCGAGTCGCTAAGTACGTGGATCAGTCTGGAATTGTTACTTTCCAGAATTTCACTTGGCCCCTTTAGCCTAATAAGCGAGTTTTAACACTGCAATAGACTCAAGACAGACGGGTGAAGGGCGAAGGCACAAAGATTTCCAGCCCACACTCTTCAGTTTTATCACAGAATTTTTAAAACAAAGGCATTTTAAACAAAATGTTAGTTGTTTTAGCCCAACTGTCTTTCCTCCAGCTGACCAGGAGGAGGAGACCATTACCAGAAGCAGCATGGATTAACAGGTTAAAACAAGGAGACAAGCTAGGCAGGCACAAGAACATCAATGGAGGAAAAAAACATGCTCTTTAGAGGAATATTGCTCTGAAACTCTTCTCACTGAGCTCAACAATTGTCATCTCTAGAACCAAATGCTTCTGTCCACATTAAATCCAACTGAAGATCAGCCACAGAAAGCGTCCAACCAAAGCTCAAAAGCTTTTCTAGTTACCTTTTGCTCTCTTCCATCGCTTTGTCCAACTGCTGGAAGATATCCTGGAATAAACTGCAGCTGGAGCGACTATTGATGTCGTAGCCGTATCCTCTTTTCCAGTACTGCTTCAGGTCATTCAGATATTCAAGTACCTATAGTTACACAGATGACAGGGCTTTATTATTGCAGAGTTACAGGTTAGGGCTGGAAGCCCCCAAGGGGCTTTCTACAAATTCAGTAGACCCCAGTGGATGCTTCCCACAAAAAAAGGAAGTGTACCTTGGATTTATACATCAACACAGTGACTTTCCCTGTTTTTCTCCTTCCACAAAGCTTCCCACTTGTCCCCACATCCTTAATATCCTATGTAACTTCACATAGTCAGCAAACATTCCCACCTCACTGCTAACCCCTTCCCCGAGTTATTCAGGAATGCACTGAACAGTGCAGGTCTCAGCAGCACTCCCTGGTGGCCCTCCGGCACGTGGATTGGGCCAGAAGAGTTTTACTAACATGAATCTGTTGGGCCCTGGAGCCCTTCTTGAAAGAAAAAGCAGGGCAGGGGGATTTCAGAGGGCCAGAAGACCACATCCACCGGCCTCTCACCCTCAAGAATCAAGGCATTTTATCCTATGAGATTTCCATATGTGAAACAGAGCTGTCCACGGCACTTCAGAAGTTACAGAAGAAGAAAGCATTATTTGAGTTAAGCACAACAGAAAAAGCCCACTTTAATCAGGACAAACCAAGGCTACAGCAGTATTTAATTCTCTTGCTGTTTGATTAATCCAGAGCTCTTTGGAGACCGAGGTGCTTTATTAGGTGGAAGAATAACAGGCACAGAAATTCCTAATTATTATTTGCGCGGTCAGAAGTTGTATCTGAACGCCCGGCCACCCCCCAAACTTTTATCAAATCTCTTTAACACTCCGCACCCACCTTGGCATCCTCTTCACTGAAGAGTGAACACCACGGGGAGGTCACATTTTTTATTGCCAACTCGTAGGAGCAGGTGAGAAAAGCCACTTGAACGAGATCTGCAAGAAACCCCAGCAGCACGTGAAGGCTGAACCACCGCTCTGGAGCTAAATGCTCCCTTCCAAATTCCCCCCCGCAAGAGGAGAGGTAATTAGTATCTACGAATGAAAATAACCAGCAGGATCTAATAAATAATTGCTTGTCCAAAGGCTAAGCACTATAAAAAATACTAAAACAAAAATACCAAATATTAAAAAAATGTTGTTTTCAACAACAGAATCAGTGCGTAAACCCCAAATTTGGGGTTGCAAGCATTTTCACGTTACGTTGGTGTACACAAAAAAAGTTAATTAAGATCAAATGCTATTTATGTGCTGTAGATATGAGCGTCAATGCACCTTTTATCGCCATAAAATGTGTCAGGAGCGTCAACACAACCAAGATGAGTCTGCTCAGCACCGGCTTGTCTTTGGCTCCCACTACTCAGCCTACACTTTATGGGATGAGTGTCTGCTTGGCATCTGAAGGGAGCCTTTCTAACTGGGTAACTCACAATGCAGCAGCTATTTCTGTGTTCCCGCATCGCTTAACCTCAAGATAAATGCGGGGAAAACCTGGCGCTTCTCTTCTGGACAAGCAAAGTTACAACCCGGACACAAAAACTACACCTATGCACCAAGGCGGAACGAAGAGCCGCTTATTTACATCCTTCAAAGCAAAGTTCATCCTACTATGGCAAGAAAGACTCGTTCAGATGTGGTTTCTGATGCAGAAGTGAGTCAAAACAGGCCCCTTCTCTCCTTCCTTTTACCTGCGTTCAGCTCATCTGGCGGCAGACACAAGGCGCCCGCGACACGCTCCAGAACACGCTGCATCTCGGGCCCCTCCTTGAAGGTGTCCACCTGGTGCATGGCCGTGTCATTCTCCTCCACGAGTGCCACGAACTTCTCACAGTGCTCGAAGAACCGCAGCAGCGGGTCGTTCACCTCGATGTCTGCTTCTGAAAGCGGGGTGGGGGGG